AGGAATTGAGACTACATATCGATATAACGACAATCTCAGTTAATCAAAGTATTGCAATGTTTTCTTTTTTTAATTTTCTTTGTTTTTAACTAACATCTTTATACATGCATTTACTTAGACTTACCGTCAAATATGTAATATGCACTTTTTCTATAGCGATTCCAAAACAGTTTTTCCCAACTTATCTCAATCATTCTTTTTGTGCCCTGACGGAAGCACGCAGAGGATTAAATTCTTAAATTTGGAGGAAGATGGAGTATCCGGAGAAAATCCACCTGGTCGGGCAGGTGACTGGGAACGAATCCGGCCATTTAGGTGAAGACAAGCGCGCTATCCACTGCGCCACGACCCATCATATATATACGTTACGCACAAGAACCTAATCTACTTTAGCTTTGACTGAGGTATCAGTGTATAGTAGTGTACGATGGCCATGGGTGATATTTTTCTTCAATGAATAACCCCTGTATTAATTACATGTATCAAAACTTTCATATCAAATCAGCTCTAAAATTGGCATATACATGATGAATTGGACTATGTGGGCTTCACATTTAAAGAAAAGAAAAATCGAATTTGGTTGGAGACTCCATTTTTCGCCATTTACAAATCTGTGTCTATACAACAAAACCTAGCTTTTCATGTAGTCTATTTTTGTACTCAGCACATGTGTAAATGTTGTGAAAAATCAAGTTGAACGACCTATGCTATAACGTGAGTATTTCTGTTACCGTGTAGATGATATTTAATTTAAGACAGGTTTTAAGAAAAACAATACTACTTGGGTGGGTCAAATTTTGGGTCAAAAACCATGTTTTTTTGCATTTTTTTGGCGTTTTTTGATGTGGTAACCAAATCCCAAATCTGGGGAAATCACCCTTTGAAAAGAAAAATAACCTTCTAAAAACAAACTGTACAAAATGTAGTTTATTTAAGCATTGAACTGTTTTTGTATGGTATTTATGATCTATTGTAATGTCACAGCTTTGCAAGCAAATAAATCCTAATGCGCTATCGCGTATTATGTTGTTTGCTTGCAAACCTTTGTCATTCAAATAGATAATAAATACCATACAAAAACAGTTCAATACTTTTATTTACGTTTTCTCTGCCTCTTATGTTCTTTTTTAACTTACAATTTATATTCAAAATTAAAAATGCCCGCCTTATCGACAGTCCACACAATTTCGTTCAATAGTTTGAATAGCGTAACGTAATGTCGCGTGCTGATTGGCAAACAAAGTAGTACTTTGAAATATTAACAAACACTTCAATTTTATTCCACAATTCAGTATCAATACAATTGCGTATTTATCAATAGAACTCGGAGCTGAAAGTTAGATTTGAAATTGTTTTGATTTTCCCCCGGAACAAATTTCGCGCATGGACAAATACAGTGAACACCGTAAATCCGACCTTGCCCTCCACGAGGGAGTTATTTTTGGAAGTTAATTCGAACTTTTCTCTTTGCTCATTTTGTGAAGAATCCAGGCGTGAATGTATTAGTTGATTGTATGGGAACCTGACAACAGTCGGTAGATTCTATAACATCCTCGTTATTTGACATGTCGTCAGAAACTGAGGAATGGTGGATGCGAGACGCGTGAAACTTGCGACGGAGCACAGGTTCGTTATAAATGTCTGAAATGTTTATGTGTGCTGTGATTCATATCAGTAGGTCTGTAACATATGTGTCAGTAGGTCTATAGCATATGTGTAGTTAAGACATTTGTAACGAACCCCTGTTAATCAGTGCAGTGTAACAGACGATATTTCTGATAAATTGCATGAGCGTTAAAATTGTTTCCATAGGTTAGCCTATTTCAACCGATGTGCATTTTGTACGATATTGCAGACCTTGGTCTTGCTTTCGTTGTAATAAAAGTGTTTTTTAATTATTATTTTTTTGCACATTAATTTACAATGACATTGTCAAATCTCACAATGCCCAGCGATATTTCAGCAGCCGTAATGTTTATTTATATTGGATATTGTAGTTCCGGTCAGTGTTGTATTAATACGATAAAAACTGTGTCTCGTGATGCATGGTAATTAAAGTCCCATCAACGACACAGCTTTCAAAGAGGCTATATAGTGACAATGCCATGCAAATATATATATATATGTAGGTGTGTTGTGCAGGATGAATCCGCTATCCATGTTTATCCGAGACATGCCCTTTATTTTTAGGATCTAGTATACCAATGGAAAAATCGAAATATTTTGTGGATATAACACTACATGTTGCAATGGCGTTCAAAAACTCCTATGGCGTACCTAAGGCGCAAATTAGTGAGACCCAGCCGGCCGCCATTTTTTCTACTGTACTATATATGCTACCTGAAAGAAAATGGCGTCATTGATGCAAAAAAAAAAATATTGTGAGTACATTTTTACCAATCATCAATGATACAAAGAATCTACATACGGGTGACCGGGACAAGTTCGGCCACCCCTGATGTTTTTGTTTTTGAGCTAATACAATGTGTTAACAACTTTAAGGATGTTAGCAGTTTAGTTGGCTGGGCACTCACACGAAAAAATGGCAAGGAAAACTCTAATGGAAAATTACTAAATAGGTGAAAATTACTTTTGAGAGAAAATCATGATCTCGCTTCTAGTTATGCAAACTTTCTGTAAACGGAATTGCTACTTTTTTACGGTGTATGTGTAACACACTGACAGTTTCAAATGATATACATAAAAGCCCAGCCAAGCACTTGCTACCATATTGAATTGCTGTACGAAATATCAATTTGGGCACCGTGGCAAGTTCGGCCTATGTAACACATTAAACTTACCCGAATGCCTGGCCGAACTTATCCCATGGAAGTGCTCGTTCGGCCATCCGATCTTCCGACACTGAAAGTTAAATAATGTTCAGAAACGGACGTGCTGCCATACTTCCCAGAACGGACTTGAATAAAAATTGGGCCGAACTTGCCCCGATCTCCCCTATTGTTATGTCTCTCTTAATCTCATTAGAGCTTATGTTTTATTGTTATTCTTGGACTAGCCGACTATAAGTAAAGTTTATCTTATCTCATTCTGAAAGCAGTATTCTGAATTGGTAAATATCAGAGATCAACAAAAGCTACGCTCTTTTAAGACTTTGCCTTTTCATATTATTTTTGGTATGTTCTACTGGTCGAATTTATGTGCAGGTAACATAAAATAATGATTTTGATAAAATAATATGTTTTATTTTGATGGTCATTTTTTGTGTGTGTTACTTTTGCGAATTATTTAAGAGAAAACTTTTTGGGATTTCTGTATCATTGCATTATCATCTGGCCTCCAGGTGAGAATCTTCTGGAATTTTTCAATATGCTAAATGCCTTGCATATTGATTTTAATTACACAATGGAGATTATCAAAAAGGGAATACATTTCTTGGATAATTTTGTAGAAATTAAAGAACAGGATATTGTTACTGAATAATATTATTAGCCTACATATAACTTTAAAATCACTTGGATTTCTTTTCAAACCATGCTAAAAATAATACGCTTTAACATTCCATATGGTTTAGCCTCAAAATTATTAACAGGAGTTAGAGATAAAAAAAAAAAAAAAAAAAAAAACGTTATCCCGCTAAAGTGTTACAAAATGCTATTTAAAGAGCGAAAGAGAAAGGACCTGTCAGTGTTTATTCAGAAAGAGCAAAAACCAAATATGCTAATGTCTTACCATCTGTTACTAGGCACAATCTAAATAATTGTGACATGTTCATTGTCGTTAAACATTATGCAAATTTCATGAAAAAAAGTCGGAACACGAAGTGCATTTTGAAAACAAGAAGATTATAAACTGTAAAAGACGTACAACGCAAAAAATTTCAAATGTTTACTATGTACATCCACATTTGATATGAATAACACAAATCTCCCTGGTGTTAAAAAAGATATGAAACCAAGGTGTAGTGCATGTAAGATTACCATTGAATGTAAAGACTACGTGTTTGCAAATGGTTCCAACATAGAAATTAGGTCAGACATGAATTGTAATTCGAAGAATATCATTTACTTTTTAAAATGTTAACAGAGTGGATTATGTTTTAAAGGACAAATCGAATGTGAATTGAGACTACGTATGATTGTACATAGACAATAAATGAAGGACAACGAACTAAAAAAAAAGTTAGCAAACATGCATAACGTTTAATGTTATAAAAATGATTTTTATATGTTATCTATTTACAAACTAAATACCGGTGATCTAGTTGCAAGAGAATTTAAAGAAAAAAATGCTTATAAAGCCCCTAAACCCTGCTTGAATACACAATGATTTTTACAATGTACTGGTTATACAGGTTTTCTTGTTAACTAACAGTGACAAATAAACAAACATCAGTCAGTCTGAAGAAGCACAATAAGGCACAAAGGCCTAGCGGTCAGTCTTGTGTACATGTACTTGTTGTTTTATTCTATATTTTCCTTCACAAAAACTTTATTATCATTTTTTTTGAATATATTTTTTAAGGAACGTTACTATTTCGCTACCTTTATGACGCAATAATGGGAAAAAAACTATGTCACGTATTTTCCTGATTTTCTAATTCAGAATTTTTGCAAATGTGTTGAGCACAATTTAATTTCAAAATTCGACTTCTGGTATTATTAAGCGAATCAAGCTTGACGCAAAAGGCTTTAGAGATATCTTTACGCTTTATTGCAATATCACTAGTTTTTACATAATTTTGAAAGAAACCATGAATTAAACATGTTCTTATAACCTTCATATTTTTTTGTGCTTTAATGAGAACGCACTAATTATGCATGTCACGCGTATATCGTGGTTGGTAAGCTACATTTTATTCTCATTTTGAAAATTACCATAAAGTGTGATACTGTTTGTCATTTGGTAGCTGACTGAGTGGTTTGTCCGACGTGCTAATTGTATTTTAATATCTTTTTGCATACCTATGTTAATATCATTGTCATTAATGTTTCATTTACACATTCATTTATCAGTTTCATTATGTCACCGATTCCCTATCATTTGACGTGTTTGCAAGAAACATAATAAAATAAAATAAAATGTTTTCAGTAAACTAACGTTTAGTGCGCAGGTGGACGATGTGATAGCCGCTATGTCGACAGAAAGGTAAGCCAGAACTAACACTTAATCTTGTTTACAGTTCTTTGTTGTTATTTTGATTAGTTGCAAAAAACGCCACTCCAGCAGTAAAACTTCCTCTCAATACCTAAGTCGGTCTTTTTTTTTTTTATATCTGTCAACCAGTTCTATTATAATTACCACTTAAACAGAACCAATTTGTTGACGAAATGTCCAAATGATTATTTTAAAACAATGCCAACGATTAAGAAATAAACAAAGTTTTTCTGAATAATATTAAGCCAAGCCTCTTAAACCCAGCTAGTATAAATATGTGTCGATCTATCAAGCTAGCATGAAACGAAAATTTGGTTAATTTAACATCTATAATAAAAGTGGAAGCTCTGAGTTTATAAAGCAAGAGTTGTTACTGGATTGTTTACCTAAATAATTATTAAGCTACAATTATATAGTCCTTAGCTATACAATGTAGTTGGTTTGATTAACAGTGGATTCCCTAGCTATACAATAATGCCGGAATAGACCCTAAATTCCTTAGCTATATGATAGCGCCAGCATAAACATTACTAAATGCTTATTGTTACTCAATAATGCTTTAATTAACAATGAATGTATCAGCTTTGTAATGAAACCAGCAACACCACCATTTGCTTGCTTTACACTAAAGCAACGCGTAACATTGGACTCCAAAGTAATATGTAATGACAGAAAAAAGAATGTGTGCATAAAGATTAAATATTCAAAGTTGATATATGTTGTTCACCATGAAACTTCACACAAAAAGTATCGGTACACTCCTTGTTATCATCTTTACTGACTTTGTTTTTGTTGTGTCGATCTTGACAAAAAGAAAAACAAATGTATTCCTGGTGAACGCGTTTGGTAAGCTAGCTATGCCTTGAGTAAAACTGTTGACAACCAATTGGCTGGAATGATTCAGGCTGGTGTTGCCAAAAATGTTGCTGAACGCTTTGGTTTGCATCGGAACACTATTCCATGCATTATGGAGACGTATCCAGCAGTCTGGTTACACCTGGGACTGCATCAAACCAGGAAATCCGTGTGTTACCTCATTACGTCAGGACAATTCCACCCGGGCGGTACATTTGCCAAAGCGTTTCCAAACTAAATTTCGATGGTGAGGTGCATTCCTTACGGAAAATCAGTCCTAAAAACTAAGAGCAATCGCCTGCGTGAACGGCTCATTCGTCCTCGACGTTCAGTCTTCCGCCACGTCCTGCAACGACGCATTCGTATCAAACGGGGTGCAGGAGACATCTACGATATACTAGACGGTATTGGGCGCACATGTCTCAGGCGAGTTTTGGTTCCACTAAGAAAGTAGTGATGGCCACTCCAGAGTGAACTGCACGTTGGAGAGCGTTTTCAGGACAGTTATATCGTGGTGCGATGGTCGGCTTTAGCAGCATAACAGTGAATGCCAGAACGCTTCTGGTGGTTGTTGATGGACATTTGACCGGTGCGTGCACGCTACCACGATGGGATCCAGAAAGCCAACCTCATCCCGTTCGTGCAACAGTATCACATACTGCATGCGTTGTGACTGATTTCCTGACTCATCAGATTGTAGATGTGTTGAATGCATTGCCCGAAGTATCACCTGACCTTGCACCCATCAATCACATACAGAACAACATGCAACTTCGGTTACGTCAACTGCCAATGAGTAAACATTCTGCTCTTTGACTGCCACTTTAATTTCCACACGATTCAGGGGCGGTTGGTCGATATTTTCATGTTGGGTTCCTCACACTATTTTGGGCGGAAACATTTTGCGTTTTGACTTTTCACACTATTCAGGGAGTTGACATTTCCACGATTTGCGTCTTTACACTATTAGATGATTGATTGACATGTAGATATTTTGACTTTCACACCCATTAGGAAGTGGAAATAACGACCCTTGTCTGGCCACACTATTCTTTGAGTCGACATTCGTTTTGATTCTTAACATCCTGTTGACATTTCTGCAGTTAGACTCTTCAAAACTGTTTTAAGGAGACATTTCTGCGTTAAAACTCTTCACGTTATTCCGAGAGAGAACATTTGTGCATTTTGACTCCTCAGATTATAGGAGGAGATATTTATACGTTTAAAGTCTTAACGTTTTGTTTTCACCCTTCATTCTATTTGGGATAGGGGTATTCTCGCGTTTTGACTTATTCATGGTATTCGGAAAGTGTGCTTTTTCACATTTTGATTCTTTTCCGGTGGTAGGGAATCATACTTGTACAAATGGAGAGGCTGACCCTCAAATGGACTAAGGGGCGGGGCAAAGAAGGGGTAATTTGAACATATTGCTTTAAGTGACTTCTCTGTCATAAAACGGTGGATGCCAGCCATATTTGGTTGGAAACATCTTCAGGTGATGGGGATTCAAAATTGCATCAGTTGAAGAACTGACCCCTGCGCTTATTGGTGGGGCCAGAAAGATTTCAGCCCACCATCATCAGATGATGGGCTGATCAAATTGCCCTTGTTATTGGTATTTCTCAAGAGGTACTGAATTGACCTCTCTCAAATTTAATGTGAAAGTTTCCATTTGGTCATAGTTGTTTATGTTTAATTTCTAGACTGACTTGAAAACCAAAATGGCCGACAGGCATCAATCTAGGATTTTGCCAGTTCAAGTTAGTTTGTTGTTACAATTTCTCAGGAGTACATAACGGTGTTTTATTTTGGGACTAATCAGAACAACACGACGGCTACCAGGCAACCACCTTTGATTTTGGTAATTCAGGTTTGTTACCGCTATTTCTCAAGTATTTCTTAACATATCTTTCTCAAATTTCGTATGAATGATCACTTGGTCAATAGTTGTGCTTGTTTCATTTTTGGACCAATCAAGAAAACAAAATAGCCACAAGGCAGCAATCTTGGATTTTGAGAGTTAAACGTTGTTATGAGTTTTTTTAGCTCACGGGGCCGAAGGACCAATGTGAGCTTATGCCATACCGTGGCGTCCGTCGTCCGTCAACACTTTCTTTAAACGACTACTTCTTCTTAACCACTGATTAGAATTTTAACTAAATTTGACTGGAAGCATCCCTAGGTGGTGGGGATTCAAAATTGTACAAATGGTGGGGCTAACCCCCAGAGGGCTAAGGGGCGGGTCAAAAAGGGGGGCAATTTGACTATATTGCTATAAACGACTTCTTCTGTAGAACTATGCCATGAATATCGATCATATTTGGTCGGAAGTATTCATGGGAGGCAGGGATTCAAAATTGTACAAATGGGGGGACTGACCCCCCCCCCCCCAGGGGGCTGAGGGGCGGGGCCAAAAAGGGTTATTTGGCTATATTGCTGCTTTGAGCGACCTCTTCTCTGGAACTAAGAAATGAATATCAACCATATGACTGAAAGCATCCATAGGTGGTGGGGATTCAAAATTGTACAAATGATTGGGCTGATCCCACAGGGGGCTGAGGGCGGAGCCAAAAGGGGGCAATTTGGCTATATTGCTATAAACGACTTCTTCTGTAGAACTATGCCATGGATATCGATCATATTTGGATTCGTATTCATGGGAGGCAGGGATTCAAAATTGTACAGATGGTGGGGCTGACTCCCCGGGCTAAGGGGTGGGGCGAAAAAAGGTTTATTACTTGGAAATGGTTGAGATCCCCACCATACAACCATATATACAATTGCTGGGTATAAAGAGAAGAATGCAGTTATGATATTAGAATAGACCATGTGTTTCTGGAGTACCTTCAGTACTTTGATTATTCGTTATTATATGATTTCATTTTAGGCGTCGCAATTTATAGATTTATGTATTTTGTTCATGACGTCATTATTTTTGATGTCTTACGAGCGTGATTTTGCCTTCGTTCGTTTTATTTCTACCATCACATGGATCTTTAAATTTGTATAAGTATACTTAGACATGTTAATATATTATTATGAACAATGCATTAAGATAAAACTGACTTTTCTTATTAATTTAATTTCTTTTTACAGGTTGCTCGTCATGTTTATCAGACATGTATTCCTGCTCATGTGTCTGTTTGTTCTGACGAATGGTCTAAATTTAGTAGATCTTTTGAGCAAACTGAGAAGAGGAAACCCTGTCGGCGGTCCTACCAATGTTTATGACAGAACTGCCCCTGTAAATACGATGTCGTTTGGGTTCCCCGAAGGTTATAATAATGCAGCATTTCATAGCCACATGATTCAACAAGCGCAACCCAGCGAACTAAAGAGCAATTTCCACAGTCTTCTAAGACAGTTTCGGGCTAGTGGTGGTGCCGGCAGAGATGTCCAGTCCCATCAAAACACTAGGCACAATGCACCAAATAGGCACCCATACACTCCAGCAGTGCAACAGATTCCAAACGGACGACAGTATTCCCCAGTGCCACAGATTCCACAAAGGCGACAGTATTCCCCAGTACAACATGTTCCAACCAGGCAACAGTTGCCGCCTCAAGCACAGCAGGTCAGTGTGTTGTAATCAAAGTATATGTTACCCAGAACATAACCCTTAAACTGCTCTACACACCTTTGTTCAGACCACATTGAATATGCAAATCAGATTTGCTGACTTAACTTAAAAATAGACAATGACCAAGCAAAATATAATTTAATAATTATATATTTTTTTTTGTAAATACAAATACTTCTTATTACCATTAGCACCTACTCGATTATGCAAGTTAAGAAAGTAATTTCTAGGGCTTTAACTTTTAAAGATCTTTTCGATCGGAGAATCTTCTTTCCACTTCTGACCAAACTTTTGAAGTCTGAAAAAGGGTTCTCAAAGTTGAATATGAGAAATAGCTAGTTCATAATAATAATAATTCGAGGTTCTTGAATACCGCTTTATCACAACCTAGTTGGTAGGTCGTCTCAAAGCGGTTCACAAATTATTATCCGTGGTTATAGGGCCTTTGCAACCAGCCGCCAACATCTTTCTCAACTCCCTGGGGAGCATACAGCCGGCGCTGGCATTTCGGCGCTCACAGCTAGCATTCTATATTTCTAGCACTGCCCAACCAAGTACTCATTTACAGCTGAGTAGATTGGAACAAGCGGAATAAAGTATCTTGCTCAAAAATACAACACATTGCCGTGTCGTGACTCGAATCCGCAACCCTTCGGTTACGAGCCCTGCGTCCTACCACTAGACTACCGTGCCTCCCAAACTGTTCATGTACAGAACAGCTGATGTATTGAACAAATAACGGTTCATTATCTCAATATGCTTAAACCCACCGCAAAACATCAAAGTGACCATCTAAAATATTAAAAAGCAGAGCTCAACAACGACAGAAACTTATAATTGATGACTAGACTTCAATTTGTCTAAAAGTGGTAAATGATAGTTAGATTTCAAAACTAATTGGTCAACACGAGTAGAATCCTCCATGATGCGATGGTAAATTTTGATTTGCTAACGCGTACGGAGCAACAAATTTGTATAAACTATCTTCAGATCAATGTAAAAACATGAACGGAATCCACAAGTGTCAGCTAAACTGAAAATCTGTGATAATTTATCGTCCAATTTACAGATAGTTATTTTCAGTGTGAAGTCAATCTCAAAAACGAGTAGAATCTGTGTTAATGAGTTTACGAGTTCTTCACGGTTTCTCATTCATAAATGCTTGTCAGCGTGCCATCTAGAATTTTAGTTTTAGCAAAGGTCTACGTGGAAACTTTAACTTCTTTATGTAAATTGTTAGATTTATTGTGAAGAAAAGCGTTAAGGGATATCGAAATATGTTGGCGGTAAACAAGATGTAAAATTAAAAGGAGGTGTATAATATCGAGATTTTACTGAGAATCAATGGATGTTGGCCATTTTGTTATTGGTTATTTTTGTGAATATTAGCATTATACTGACAACGGGTAGAACCAGTTGTTGTCATTTCTCTTTATGCTGAACGTTAAACAGGGAATAAAAACTACTTTTTTTTAAGCACTTTGGTGTGTCCCGGCCTGGGGACAGATTATATTGTCTTCCTCACATGGGCAACGTTCAACATTACAGCCAAAATGAGGTGTTGCCTAGCAAGGCGTTTGGGAATAAAAGGTAGTTAGAAGTAGAAAGAAATATAAAGATCCCAAATATTGCAATGGGTGCAGCAGATTTATTTGGCCGCTTTTATGTCCCCAAGTTGAGGGCACAAAACCCAATCCAAACATTAGTCGCCTCCTACGATATGCAGTGTGTAACAGCAGGTGTACTCTTTTCTCGATAATAATAATAATAATAATAATAATAATAAATTCTTTTATTTAGACAGGGTAACATATTTAGATTTTCATCTAGTTTACAATATGGCCCTGTAAAACACATTATATATACATACATAAAACAACAGCACATCACGCATACAGAGACATATGACATACAATAAAATAGAAAAAGCAGTTAAATAGTACAATACATTATTAAGACAACCTATTATATTGTATCACTAAATAAATAATCCCCGACCTGCAGGCGTGCGATCAAAGGTGAACACTCCTTACTGGCGAGATTTAATGAGCGTATGGTTACGTGGTACTTGCGACATCATAGAGCAACTTCAGGTCACGGGTCCATATTACTGTAGCAAGTGTTTTGGAGCTTCACTTCGCATATATTTATGGATTTTTTTTAAACGAATGACAGTGTGGTTATTGATATAAACTACACATTATATATACTTCCATACAAATTTAAGCAGGACAGAAATAAAATTACATCAGTGGACAATTGTGATTTGACAGGTATGCAAATAAGATGCACATGCACAGACATAACGGCGGCTAACACTGAATCAAACCCCAATATATAACTGGATTTAAAAAAACCATTAGCGTCACGTAAGAGCTAGCTGAATTATGTTGCACATTGTTGAAATGGGATATCTGGATATAATCCACTTTTATGATCTGAAAATTGTTGACGAACTGTTTGTATTCTTACTTACATATCCAAGATAACGTGGAATTTTTACCAAATACTATTTGATTCTGAGTAAGACGTAGTATTTGTTAGTACGTGGACAAGCAACACTTGCAGTGCAGTTGATTAAGAGGTAATTACATGTAACCGTACCTGCCGTGTAGTTGTTTAAGAGGTAATTTGCAGTGCAGTTGATTAAGAGGTAATTACATGTAACCGTACCTGCCGTGAAGTTGATTAAGAGGTAATTACATGTAACCGTACCTGCCATAAAGTTGATTAAGAGGTAATTACATGTAACCATATCTGCCGTGTAGTTGATTAAGAGGTAATTACACGTAACCGTACCTGCCGTGTAGTTGATTGAGAGGGAATTACATGTTACCATACCTGCCGTGAAGTTGTTTAAGAGGTAATTACATGTACCCGTCCCTGCCGTGAAGTTGATTAAGAGGTAGTTACATGTAACCGTACCTGCCGTATAGTTGATTAAGAGGTAATTACATGTAACCGTACCTGCCGTGAAGTTGATTAAGAGGTAATTACATGTTACCATACCTGCCGTGTAGTTGTTTAAGAGGTAATTACATGTTACCATACTTGCGGTGTAGTTGAATAAGAGGTAGTTACATGTAACCGTACCTGCCGGGTAGTTGTTTAAGAGGTAATTACACGTAACCGTACCTGCCGTGTAGTTGATTGAGAGGTAATTACATGTTACCATCCCTGCCGTGAAGTTGTTTAAGAGGTAATTACATGTACCCGTACCTGCCGTGTAGTTGATTAAGAGGTAATTACCTGTAACATTCCTGCCGTGTAGTTGTTTAAGAGGTAATTACATGTTACCATACCTGCCGTGTAGTTGTTTAAGAGGTAATTACATGTAACATACCTGCCGTGAAGTTGGCTAAGAGGTAATTACATGTAACCGTACCTGCCGTGTAGTTGATTAAGAGGAAATTACCTGTAACATACCTGCCGTGTAGTTGATTAAGAGGTAATTACACGTAACCGTACCTGCCGGGTAGTTGATTGAGAGGAAATTACACGTAACCGTACCTGCCGTGTAGTTGTTTAAGAGGGAATTACATGTTACCATACTTGCGGTGTAGTTGAATAAGAGGTAGTTACATGTAACCGTTCCTGCCGGGTAGTTGTTTAAGAGGTAATTACATTTAACCGTACCTGCCGTGAAGTTGATTAAGAGGTAATTACATGTAACCGTCCCTGCCGTGAAGTTGATTAAGAGGTAATTACATGTACCCGTACCTGCCGTGAAGTTGATTGAGAGGTAATTACACGTAACCGTACCTGCCGGGTAGTTGATTGAGAGGTAATTACACGTAACCGTACCTGCCGTGTAGTTGATTAAGAGGTAATTACCTGTAACATACCTGCCGTGTAGTTGATTAAGAGGGAATTACATGTTACCATACTTGCCGTGTAGTTGATTAAGAGGTAATTACATGTAACCATACCTGCCGTGTAGTTGATTAAGAGGTAATTACAGGTAACCGTACCTGCCGTGAAGTTGATTGAGAGGTAATTACACGTAACCGTACCTGACGTGTAGTTGATTAAGAGGTAATTACCTGTAACATACCTGCCGTGTAGTTGATTAAGAGGGAATTACATGTTACCATACTTGCCGTGTAGTTGATTAAGAGGTAATTACATGTAACCATACCTGCCGTGTAGTTGATTAAGAGGTAATTACCCGTAACCGTACCTGCCGTTTAGTTGATTGAGAGGTAATTACATGTTACCATACCTGCCGTGTAGTTGTTTAAGAGGGAATTACATGTAACCGTACCTGCCGTGTAGTTGATTTAGATTTAAGAACATGTAACAATACTATACTGGGCCGTGCAGTTAGTAATTACATGTTACCATACCTACCGTGTAGTTGAATAAGAGGTATTTACATGTAACCATACCTGCCGTGTAGTTATTTAAGAGGTAATTACATGTTACCATACTTGCCGTGTAGTCGATTAAGAGGTAATTACATGTAACCGAACCTGCCGTGTAGTTGTTTAAGAGGTAATTATATGTTACCATCGTGTAGTTGATTAAGAGGTAATTACACGTACCCGTACCTGCCGTGTAGTTGATTGAGAGGTAATTACATGTTACCGTACCTGCCGTGGAGTTGTTTAAGAGGTAATTACATGTAACCGTTCCTGCCGTGTAGTTGTTTAAGAGGTAATTACTTGTTACCATTCCTGCCGTGTAGTTGATTAAGAGGTAATTACAGGTAACCGTACCTGCCGTGAAGTTGATTAAGAGGTAATTACATGTTACCATACTTGCGGTGTAGTTGAATAAGAGGTATTTACATGTAACCATCCCTGCCGTGTAGTTGTTTAAGAGGTAATTATATGTTACCATACCTACCGTGTAGTTGAATAAGAGGTATTTACATGTAACCATGCCTGCCGTGTAGTTGTTTAAGAGGTAATTACATGCAACCGTACCTGCCGTGTAGTTGATTTAGATTTAAGAACATGTAACAATACTATACTGGGCCGTGCAGTTAGTAATTACATGTTACCATACCTACCGTGTAGTTGAATAAGAGGTATTTACATGTAACCATACCTGCCGTGTAGTTGTTTAAGAGGTCATTACATGTAACCGGACCTGCCGTGTAGTTGATTTAGATTTAATAACATGTAACAATACTATACTGGGCCGTGCAGTTAGTAATTACATGTTACCATACCTACCGTGTAGTTGAATAAGAGGTATTTACATGTAACCATTCCTGCCGTGTAGTTGTTTAAGAGGTAATTACATGTAACCGTACCTGCCGTGTAGTTGATTTAGATTTAATAACATGTAACAATACTATACTGGGCCGTGCAGTTAATTACCATTTAATTGTAGACACACGTGAATGTGTTCCACCGATTAATGTCTAGTGTCAATCAAACTGTCCCTGTCACAAACATTCATGAACAAAATGACAGCTTAAAATAATATATCATTGAAAGATTGCTTTAAATGCTTTGGCAGAAATTGGGAAACAAACATGAAAATGGCCCCTTTCGTTCCCATTTTAGATGACTGATTTTGTAATTTTGCTCAAATGATACCCCTTTGGATTGGGTATTGAATGAAGCTACACTATGTTTTACACATCTGGTGACCTTGTACAGCCCTCAAAGAATGAATATCCAATAGGCTGATCATTTGAATATCGAGAGAGAGGGTTTAGACGAGTACACGTATTGCATCATACAACCGTAGCGTATGAAATTATGAAAACCGTGGCCAAAAGTATTTAAAATTGATAAAAAGAAAGTAAGGAATAAGTAAATTTGTAATGTTTCGGTGACTTCTTCCGCTGTCCCCTGAATTCATCCCCCCCTCCCCCCTCAACCCACCGCCACCGTCACTGCTACCCCCACCACACACACACACACACCCTCACACACACACCCTCTCATCTACACACATCATCTAACATCCACCCCAAGCTATCTCGGAATTTGATTACATGCATTATGAGCTACTGACGTTTTAATCAGTGCATATTTTTTTTCTCAGAAACGGGGAGGAAGTTGGATGACTACAACATCAAACCAGAACCCTCCTGCAAGACAACAGTTCTATCAAGGGTTCACACCGAAACAAGTAACGGTACCAAACCAAAACAGGGCACAGATAACACGAACAACTGGATTCACGCGGGAGCAAGCGCCCGTTACTAACTATGGCAGAGCACAGGTCTCACAACAAACTGGATTCACGCGGGACCAAGTACCAGTACCCAACCTTAGAAGAGCACAGATCCCACGAACAACTGGATTCACGCAAGAACAGTTACCCTTGTTTAACAACGTCAGAGGACAGATCGCACGACAAAGTGGTTTCACGCAGAAACACACAACCACATCAAGCCAAAGAGGGGTACAACAGTTCCCGCGTCAAAAAGGACTCAACCAGAAACACATAACCAAATCTAATCATGGCGCGATACGACAGTTTGTATCCAAAATGAAGAGCCAAGTGTTGCCAGGAACCAGCTTTGGTCGAATACCTACCAAACCCAGGTACACAGTTCCCGATATCCGACCGAGGCAATTTTAAACATGGACACGTCAGAGTAGAGCCTCTTGGCCAAAATCATACTTCAGTCGCATCTGTATGGCCTTATTTAAACTTAGTTGCACTTTAGTTGATCCTAAACCGAAGGAACATGCAGAGGCGAAATATAGAGAACATATGAAGAGGATCTAATGCAACGGTGATAAAACATAAACAGACGTAGGCTTGGTATGGTTAACACATGAAAGGCGCCAGTGAAATAAGCATGTGGAAGTACGAGTAAAATCTAGGAGAATTTTTTTGACATAAATCGAACTATTGGAGCTTTCTCAAAATATTTACCATGCTGTTCACCATAGGTATTGTTTTCCGATACTAACCTGTGACTTTGATTGATTCAAGAATAGCATTACTAAACCTTCTTGTGGCTTTTACTTTGTTTCTTGTAATCTGTTCGTCAGTGTATGGATATTGAACATACTCTATGTAATATATAATTGTGCTGAAACCAAATACAAATAATAGTGTCTACTTGATTTATGTTCCATGTCTCAATCAGATCAACGCAAGATACAATTCTGAATAGATGTAAACTTGGACTTTAATAAGGAGATCATTGAACAAAGTAAAGGTAAGCATCCCCTTCTTCAATCGACGACACCCGTCATGTAAGTGGAGGATTTCTTCGAGGACTGTCAGGCGTCAAAAACTGGGCGTAACAACCTATACGCAAAAAAACACGCAGTTGCGTACACATCGTACCGGCAAAAAGAAAAGAAAAGAAAGATAGAGGGGACTAGGCGAGAATAAATAAACCCAGAGAGAAAATGAAAGCATAGTTTTAGTTTAAGTGGAGACTAGGTGGAGACATATTCGTTATCGACACATGAGAGGGTGGTAAAGGGGGGTCTGTGCACGAGAATAATAAAAGGGCAAGCACGTTGCAAGAAAATGACACTTAACCGCCTTCTAATAAACGTTCCGGAACTTTTCGGCTCACTCAAGCTTCACCTTAGTTACAAGCGTTACGTTCACCTGGTTATTTTTTCTCAAAATGCCAGCCTTCTTATTAACGGAAACTCGAAGTAGTCCAGGACCTGGACCACCATATCATGATGTTTTTTTCAAATGACATAGTCCAACTTACTAATGAGGTTAAATATGATGTGTTTACCAAAACATGGACCGACGTTCATATGTTTTTGTTCCCAGTAAGGTTAATGTTTTAGGTCCGAATGTTCTTAAAGAACGTCCGTTATCCCTATAAGCAAAATGCGAATCGACAAGATATTGATTGGGGTGTGTCAGACATTTTTTTTAGCTTACCTGGTCCGAAGGACCATGGTGAGCTTATGCCATATCGCAGCGTCCGTCGTCCGACTAAATTTTGACTAAATTTGGTCTGGAGCATCCTTAGGCCAAGGGGACTCAATTTTTTATAAACGGTGGGTGTGGCCCCCCTTGGGGCAGATGAACGGGGCCAAATAATGGAAATACAGGTAAACCCTTTAAAATCCTTCTACTACCGAAGGCATTAAGGGATTTTATCCTAATTTAGTCTCGAGCATCCTTTGGTCAAGGGGACTCAATTTTGTATAAACAGTGGGTGTGGCCCACCTGGGGGCAAAGGCGCGGGCCCGAATAGGGGAAATAGAGAGTAAACCTTTCTTCTTCTATCGTAGGGATTAAGAGATTTTATAATTATTTAGTCTAGAGCATCCTTGGGCCATGGGGACTCTATTTGGCATAAACAGTGGTTGTGGTCCCTCTAGGGGCAGAGGGGCGGGGCCGAATAGGGGAAATAGAGGTAAAACCTGTAAAATCCTTTTTCTACCATAGGGATTAAGGGATTTTATTCTAATGTAGTCTGGAGCATCCTTGGGTGTAGGGGACTCAATTTTGAATAAACAGTGAGTGTGGTCCCTCTGGGGGCAGAGGTGCGGGCGGAATAGGGGAAATAGAGCAAATTCTTTAAAATCCTTCTTTTTCTTCTGTAGAAGCGACAGGATATTGTCCAAATTTGGTATGAAGCAACCTTTGGTGAAGGGGAACCAACTTTGTATAAACGGTTGGCCTGACCCCCCTTGTGGCAGAGCGGCGGACCCAACAGGGGGTATAGAGGAATAGCTTTAATATTCTTTTTCTTCTGTAGGGATGAAGATATTTTAACCAAATTTGAAGAGTAGCATCCTATGGGGAAGGGAAATTTATTTTATATAAATGGTGGGTCTGAATTCCCTGGAGCCAGAGGGGTGGGGCCCAATAGGGGTAATTTAGCAAATTCTTTAAAATTCTTCTTCTGTAGGAATAACAGGGTTTTGACCATATTTGGTCTAAAGCATTCTTTGGTGAAGGGGACTATATTTTGTATAAACGTTTGGTCTGACCCCCCCGGGGAAGAGGGGAGGGGCCCAATAGGGGAAACTTCGCAACTTCTTTAAAATACTTCTTCTTTTGTAGGAATGACAGGATTTTGTCCAAATTTGGGACGAAGCACCCTTGGGTGAAGGGGAACCAATTTTGTATTACCTGTGGGTTTTAACCCCTTGGGGCAGAGGGGCGGGGCCATATAGGGAAAGTAGGAAAATAGCTTTAAAATCCCTCTTCTCCTGTAGGAATGNCCCCAATAAGGGATATAGAGGAATAGCTTTAATATCCTTCTCCTGTAGGAATGACAGGATTATGTCCATATTTGGTCTAAAGCATCCTTGGGTGAAGGGGAACTCATTTTTTATCAACGATGGGTCTAACCCCCCCCCCCCCCCCCCCCCCCGGGGCAGAAGGGCGGGCCAAATAGGGAAAATAGAAAATATATGTTTAAAATCCTCCTTTTTCTGTAATACATGTACAGCAACATCCGGTTATTTCAACTTCAATTTTGCTTCTGCCAATCTATAACATGTTGAATGAGGTATGCTATACTGATTGAGATATCATGATATCCGATTAAATACTTAACCGGCCATCAAGAATGATACCAACCAACCCTATGCAATCCGAAATGGAAACGTAACCCATCGTTTAACAAGAAGCCCAGAGTGCCTGTATCGTTCACATGGAAATGTAAAACCATTGATGTACAGCCAACTTTGACTAGAAATCGTGTACACTAAAGAAACCAACCCAATGCACCAGCAGAGACTCCCTCCGAACATTGGAAATGAAATATGTATCGCCATTTTTGGATCTTCTAAATTTAGAATTGGAAACTCGCCTTACCACCGCAGAACTAAGATACAAGGATCAACATCTGATTCCGAAGAGAATTAGTCAGTTGAGTCCAATTTTATGCAATGACATTTTTAAACGTATGAAATTGAGCTGACAATTTCAAGGGACGAGTTTCAAGCAAAATAAAAACGGTGGAAGGCGAAGTGGATGGACGATGAAAGTGCCCCCAATGATCTACATGAGACATTAAGACCTTCATCCTGGAATTTTTCTGTATTAAATTCTTTGCCTGTATGCCGGTATCAACTGCCACTGCAGAAATATCATTTAGTATTATTGAGGTGTGTAAAAACGTACCTACGGAATAATATGACCACACAAAGAATGCCAGGATTAGGTCTTCGGAATACTTACCAAAAGTAACAAAACTCTATATTGAAACAGTTAAGTTCAGAAAATTTTAATATTATATTATATTGCAAAAAGTAACTAAGACTGTTGAAATAAAATGTTTCCCAACAAGAAACATTCGAGCGATACAAATCAATACACGAAGTGTATATTGTTAACGAAGAGAAATTCAAATAGTAATATTCGAAGAAAGAAAATATCAAGGGTTTCATTTGAAAATATAGAAATAGAACATTTAGTACAGGATAGGAAAATATGCTCACCTGTTATATATATATGATGGTGAAAGTTTTCAAGTTAATAGTAAGTGACGTCGAAAAGTAACGAGATACGCATATTTTGGTTAATTCAAGAGCTGTTTTCCTCAGTCAAAGGCATGCGAACAGATATGCGTGTGGACTTACAATCAGTATCTTAAAGCTGACTGTGCAAGTAAAAAAACTTTCGATTGAGATTTAATTAAAAAAAAAAAAAAATGTTTTTGTAGAGAAAGGGACAGAAAATGATTTGTTTATGTAGAGGAAGGACAAAAATGATTTGTTTATGTAGAGGAAGGACAAAAAATGATTTGTTTATGTAGAGGAAGGGACTAGTTGACGCAAAGAAAGGGACAGAAAGGGATTAATTTACGTAAAGAAAGGAAAGAAAGGGATTTGTTAATGTAAAGGAAAGGACAGAAAGGGATTTGTTAATGTAAAAGAAAGGACAGAAAATGATTTGTTTACGCAGAGAAAGGGACAGAAAATGATTTGTTTATGTAGAGGAAGGGACAGAAAATGATTTGTTTATGTAGAGGAAGGGACAGAAAATGATTTGTTTATGTAGAGAAAGGGACTAGTTGACGCAAAGAAAGGGACAGAAAGGGATTTGTTAATGTAAAGGAAAGGACAGAAAGGGATTTGTTAATGTAAAAGAAAGGACAGAAAATGATTTGTTTATGCAGAGAAAGAACAGAAAGGGATTTGTTTATGTAGAGGAAGGGACAGAAAATGATTTGTTTATGTAGAGTAGGACAGAAAGGGATTTTTTAATGTAGAAAAGAGAAAGAATAGGACTTGTTAATGTAGAGAAAGGACAGAAAGGTATTTATTAATGTAGAAAAGAGACTTGCATGGAAACGAGTATAGGTATCGCTGGGTTTAAAACGCGCATTACATGTCAAACTGGTTATCATTTGTTCAACGTGTGCAGGTCACACTACTGAACTATAAAAATAGAACACTTTCACTATCTGTTACCAACATTTTTCATCAGATCAGTTGAATAAAATGGAAATGTCATGCATCAAAGATATCGTTTATCTGAGAAAAGTGGAAATAAAGGTAAAATACGAAGAATTAAAATATCTAATGGACAATCCCTGCCCCCTCCCCCTAAAAAAAAAAATCAAACGGCTCTGACAGAAATTATCATACAACTAACGCTAATGCCTATATATGTTTTCCCGCTAGTAATAAGATTCTGTGTGGAAGCAGTACTAATTTCAATGTTTTCCATGAGAACGGTTTAAATTTCGCATTGATGACTCACACCTGGGATTGGCGCATTTTGCACGTGTTTTGCTAGCAACGCGTCTACACGACGAAGCTTTTTAACGTCCATTGTCAGCTTTAATCCCCGACATATTGAGCTCGTAACTAATGGCAAGTATTACATAGTGGTCTCTTACCACACAAAAGATGTAAACCAAGGGCTTGGTAAAGCACCAAAAGAAATGTAACTATTAGCTGCATCACGTCCCTGCAACCTTGCAACTTAAGAAGCTGCTCTTGGGAAAAGCCATTTTTTTTTCTTGAACCATCCCTTATTAAAAAGAGGAGAACATGAGAAGAAAAAACTGCAGAGAAAATGATATGTCCGTGTGCTCTTATTTTTGTTTTTGATTTAGCTTTTTTCTTCTAAGATCAGTCAATCATAAGAATTTAACCAAAATGTGATTTTTTGTGAAATATAT